AGTTAGAGCCAATTTTATGTTTCCAACCAAAAAAATTGATTTTTAAGGGAAAATATGAGTGATCACAAAATAAGCTTATTTTTCAATTTAAACGTGTTTTAACGAAGTTAGAGCCAATTTTATGTTTCCAAACAAAAGATCGATTTTTAAAGGAAAATATGAGTGATCACAAAATAAGCTTATTTTTCAATTTAAACGTGTTTTAACGAAGTTAGAGCCAATTTTATGTTTCCAAACAAAAGATCGATTTTTAAAGGAAAATATGAGTGATCACAAAATAAGCTTATTTTTCAATTTAAACGTGTTTTAACGAAGTTAGAGCCAATTTTATGTTTCCAACCAAAAAAACTGATTTTTAAGGGAAAATATGAGTGATCACAAAATAAGCTTATTTTTCAATTTAAACGTGTTTTAACGAAGTTAGAGCCAATTTTATGTTTCCAACCAAAAAAATTGATTTTTAAGGGAAAATATGAGTGATCACAAAATAAGCTTATTTTTCAATTTAAACGTGTTTTAACGAAGTTAGAGCCAATTTTATGTTTCCAACCAAAAAAATTGATTTTTAAGGGAAAATATGAGTCAATAGAGCCAATTTTACGTTTCCAAACAAAAGATCGATTTTTAAAGGAAAATATGAGTGATCACAAAATAAGCTTATTTTTCAATTTAAACGTGTTTTAACGAAGTTAGAGCCAATTTTATGTTTCCAACCAAAAAAACTGATTTTTAAGGGAAAATATGAGTGATCACAAAATAAGCTTATTTTTCAATTTAAACGTGTTTTAACGAAGTTAGAGCCAATTTTATGTTTCAACCAAAAAATCGATTTTTAAGGGAAAATATGAGTGATCACAAAATAAGCTTATTTTTCAATTTAAACGTGTTTTAACGAAGTTAGAGCCAATTTTATGTTTCAACCAAAAAATCGATTTTTAAGGGAAAATATGAGTGATCACAAAATAAGCTTATTTTTCAATTTAAACGTGTTTTAACGAAGTTAGAGCCAATTTTATGTTTCCAAACAAAAGATCGATTTTTAAAGGAAAATATGAGTGATCACAAAATAAGCTTATTTTTCAATTTAAACGTGTTTTAACGGAGTTAGAGCCAATTTTATGTTTCCAACGAAAAAATCGATTTTTAAGGGAAAATATGAGTGATCGCAAAATAAGCTTATTTTTCAATTTAAACGTGTTTTAACGAAGTTAGAGCCAATTTTATGTTTCCAAACAAAAGATCGATTTTTAAGGGAAAATATGAGTGATCACAAAATAAGCTTATTTTCAATTTAAACGTGTTTTAACGAAGTTAGAGCCAATTTTATGTTTCCAAACAAAAGATCGATTTTTAAAGGAAAATATGAGTGATCACAAAATAAGCTTATTTTTCAATTTAAACGTGTTTTAACGAAGTTAGAGCCAATTTTATGTTTCCAACGAAAAAATCGATTTTTAAGGGAAAATATGAGTGATCACAAAATAAGCTTATTTTTCAATTTAAACGTGTTTTAACGAAGTTAGAGCCAATTTTATGTTTCCAAACAAAAGATCGATTTTTAAGGGAAAATATGAGTGATCACAAAATAAGCTTATTTTTCAATTTAAACGTGTTTTAACGAAGTTAGAGCCAATTTTATGTTTCCAACGAAAAAATCGATTTTTAAGGGAAAATATGAGTGATCACAAAATAAGCTTATTTTTCAATTTAAACGTGTTTTAACGAAGTTAGAGCCAATTTTATGTTTCCAAACAAAAGATCGATTTTTAAGGGAAAATATGAGTGATCACAAAATAAGCTTATTTTTCAATTTAAACGTGTTTTAACGAAGTTAGAGCCAATTTTATGTTTCCAAACAAAAGATCGATTTTTAAGGGAAAATATGAGTGATCACAAAATAAGCTTATTTTTCAATTTAAACGTGTTTTAACGAAGTTAGAGCCAATTTTATGTTTCCAAACAAAAGATCGATTTTTAAGGGAAAATATGAGTGATCACAAAATAAGCTTATTTTTCAATTTAAACGTGTTTTAACGAAGTTAGAGCCAATTTTATGTTTCCAACCAAAAAAATTGATTTTTAAGGGAAAATATGAGTGATCACAAAATAAGCTTATTTTTCAATTTAAACGTGTTTTAACGAAGTTAGAGCCAATTTTATGTTTCCAGCCAAAAAAATTGATTTTTAAGGGAAAATATGAGTGATCACAAAATAAGCTTATTTTTCAATTTAAACGTGTGTTAACGAAGTTAGAGCCAATTTTATGTTTCCAACGAAAAAATCGATTTTTATGAGTGATCACAAAATAAGCTTATTTTTCAATTTAAACGTGTTTTAACGAAGTTAGAGCCAATTTTATGTTTCCAACCAAAAAATCGATTTTTAAAGGAAAATATGAGTGATCACAAAATAAGCTTATTTTTCAATTTAAACGTGTTTTAACGAAGTTAGAGCCAATTTTATGTTTCCAACGAAAAAATCGATTTTTAAGGGAAAATATGGGTGATCACAAAATAAGCTTATTTTTCAATTTAAACGTGTTTTAACGAAGTTAGAGCCAATTTTATGTTTCCAACGAAAAAATCGATTTTTAAAGGATAATATGAGTGATCACAAAATAAGCTTATTTTTCAATTTAAACGTGTTTTAACGAAGTTAGAGCCAATTTTATGTTTCCAACCAAAAAATCGATTTTTAAGGGAAAATATGAGTGATCACAAAATAAGCTTATTTTTCAATTTAAACGTGTTTTAACGAAGTTAGAGCCAATTTTATGTTTTCGACAAAAAAATCGATTTTTAAGGGAAAATATGAGTGATCACAAAATAAGCTTATTTTTCAATTTAAACGTGTTTTAACGAAGTTAGAGCCAATTTTATGTTTCCAACGAAAAAATCGATTTTTAAGGGAAAATATGGGTGATCACAAAATAAGCTTATTTTTCAATTTAAACGTGTTTTAACGAAGTTAGGCCAATTTTATGTTTCCAACCAAAAAATCGATTTTTAAAGGATAATATGAGTGATCACAAAATAAGCTTATTTTTCAATTTAAACGTGTTTTAACGAAGTTAGAGCCAATATTATGTTTCCAACCAAAAATCGATTTTTAAAGGAAAATATGAGTGATCACAAAATAAGCTTATTTTTCAATTTAAACGTGTTTTAACGAAGTTAGAGCCAATTTTATGTTTCCAACCAAAAAATCGATTTTTAAGGGAAAATATGAGTGATCACAAAATAAGCTTATTTTTCAATTTAAACGTGTTTTAACGAAGTTATGTTTCCAAACAAAAGATCTATTTTTAAAGGAAAATATGAGTGATCACAAAATAAGCTTATTTTTCAATTTAAACGTGTTTTAACGAAGTTAGAGCCAATTTTATGTTTCCAACCAAAAAATCGATTTTTAAAGGAAAATATGAGTGATCACAAAATAAGCTTATTTTTCAATTTAAACGTGTTTTAACGAAGTTAGAGCCAATATTATGTTTCCAACCAAAAAATCAATTTTTAAAGGAAAATATGAGTGATCACAAAATAAGCTTATTTTTCAATTTAAACGTGTGTTAACGAAGTTAGAGCCAATTTTATGTTTCCAACCAAAAAATCGATTTTTAAGGGAAAATATGAGTGATCACAAAATAAGCTTATTTTTCAATTTAAACGTGTTTTAACGAAGTTAGAGCCAATTTTATGTTTCCAAACAAAAGATCTATTTTTAAAGGAAAATATGAGTGATCACAAAATAAGCTTATTTTTCAATTTAAACGTGTTTTAACGAAGTTAGAGCCAATTTTATGTTTCCAACGAAAAAATCGATTTTTAAGGGAAAATATGGGTGATCACAAAATAAGCTTATTTTTCAATTTAAACGTGTTTTAACGAAGTTAGAGCCAATTTTATGTTTCCAACCAAAAAATCGATTTTTAAAGGATAATATGAGTGATCACAAAATAAGCTTATTTTTCAATTTAAACGTGTTTTAACGAAGTTAGAGCCAATATTATGTTTCCAACCAAAAAATCGATTTTTAAAGGAAAATATGAGTGATCACAAAATAAGCTTATTTTTCAATTTAAACGTGTTTTAACGAAGTTAGAGCCAATTTTATGTTTCCAAACAAAAAATCGATTTTTAAAGCAAAATATGAGTGATCACAAAATAAGCTTATTTTTCAATTTAAACGTGTTTTAACGAAGTTAGAGCCAATTTTATGTTTCCAAACAAAAAATCGATTTTTAAAGCAAAATATGAGTGATCACAAAATAAGCTTATTTTTCAATTTAAACGTGTTTTAACGAAGTTAGAGCCAATTTTATGTTTCCAACCAAAAAATCGATTTTTAAAGGATAATATGAGTGATCACAAAATAAGCTTATTTTTCAATTTAAACGTGTTTTAACGAAGTTAGAGCCAATTTTATGTTTCCAACCAAAAAATCGATTTTTAAAGGAAAATATGAGTGATCACAAAATAAGCTTATTTTTCAATTTAAACGTGTTTTAACGAAGTTAGAGCCAATTTTATGTTTCCAACCAAAAAAATTGATTTTTAAGGGAAAATATGAGTGATCACAAAATAAGCTTATTTTTCAATTTAAACGTGTTTTAACGAAGTTAGAGCCAATTTTATGTTTCCAACCAAAAAATCGATTTTTAAAGGATAATATGAGTGATCACAAAATAAGCTTATTTTTCAATTTAAACGTGTTTTAACGAAGTTAGAGCCAATTTTATGTTTCCAACCAAAAAATCGATTTTTAAAGGATAATATGAGTGATCACAAAATAAGCTTATTTTTCAATTTAAACGTGTTTTAACGAAGTTAGAGCCAATTTTATGTTTCCAACCAAAAAAATTGATTTTTAAGGGAAAATATGAGTGATCACAAAATAAGCTTATTTTTCAATTTAAACGTGTTTTAACAAAGTTAGAGCCAATTTTATATTTTCGACCAAAAAATCGATTTTTGAAAGAAAATATGAGTGTTTCGGTTAGTGTAAAATGTATTGTCAGTTCAATAATAAAAATATTTTTTGAAATAACTTTAATATTTAAATATAAATCGTCACTGAACATCTAAATCGCTTAATTCGGCATGAAGTTTCTGAGCATTAAGGAATTATTAGCCATTGGTGAAATAATAGTGGGGGTAAGAATTTATATTCAAGCTAAAAATAAAGTATGTATTGCAATAATTTTTCCATTGAATTTTCTAGAGTTTAAGTTTATACAACTATTTTCTTACCGATTTCTATGACGAGAAATTATTGGACTTAACATTATTTAAACATCGTTGCATTAGCGTTTCACTCAGCTTTTATTGCTATTTTAATGCCTGCGGTACTTGGTTCTGGTTTTCAAATGTTAAAATTACAAAAATGTTAAATCGTGTACATGTATGTAAGTTATATTGTCGCTATAGTTGGAACTATATTAATACTATTTATTTATATTTTAGAAAGTCTTGGTTTATCTTATTTTAAATATTTTATTAATTGCTACTCACTTTTCGTATAAATCGAATTATGGTTCTTTAGTTTGGGGTTATTTTGATCAACAGATATTTTTCGATGAAATCGAGCGCATACGAAGAAGTTTTTATATTGTTTTAATTATAATGACTTTGTCGGGCGTTATTATAGGTTTTAATGTCAATTTTATACGTTTTCGGGTGGTTCATTTGTTAAAAAAGAAAAAACGTAATCAAGTTTAGTGAGAGAAAATTGGGTATCTTTCCTGATTTCTGACATTTACACTAAAAATAAAACTTTGTTTCGTTTTGGTTTTATTATATTAATTATTAAATTATTTTGTTATTACTTAAAACACATGTAATATTTATAAATACAATATTATAAAATTAAATATATATAAAAAATAAAAAAAAAAAACATCGAAATTTTATAAATAAAATTCTGTAGTAAATAGTATTTGACATTTTCATAGAGAGAGTTAAGATTTCATTTGAATATCAATTAAGTAATTTTTTTTTTTTTGCTTTTTGGAACACCTTAATTAATATTTGGATCTTTCTTATTGTACATTTAAATGCCACGATAAGATCGGTGGGCCAAGAAGGCACTAATGAAATAAAGAACACTGTTTACCAAACCCATAACACTAGCAGCCAGATAAGCATCATGTTTTCTGTATCTATCGGTAACAGAAATAATCAAAATTGTGGAACTGACTAAGAGTAGAATGGCTGCAACACTGTGATAAATTAGTTCCTATAAAGAAGAAAAAGAGAAGAAGAAATTTTAATTTACTATATAAAATTTAGCTTCAGCATAGTCAATTGCATTAAATATTGGTAGTTTTCAGAACACAACAAATTCATTAGAAATGTAATTATCAACTTACATAAATAGTTTTGGAAATAATTCCACCCGTGCTCAGGGATATTAAACATGATAACAGTAAACAAAATGTGCCAATCATAAATGTCACCGCCATTAAAAAGGTAAAGACGACACCATCGTAAGTATTATGGAAATTATATCCTTGATAATAACTGAAAATGCCAACCATGGCACCACCAATAAGCTAAATAAGAAGAAGAAATAATAGTTATTTTAAAAATATTTACACAAAATAATTAAAGCAAAAACCAATTCCAATACTTACCAATTCGAATAATTTCAATAGACCTGAAAAGCTTTTCAGGTAACCAGTATTCAACACAATATAGGAAGTGTTAGTGGTGCTGGTGGTGGTGCGAGTAATGGTTACAGAATGAGACATTTTATAGAGATTTTTAAATTAAGGGGATGTAAAAGGAAATCTGTAAAAAAAATATTTAAAAAACATGTTTAATTTAAATCCATTTATACGTATATAGCTGTTGATTTCCAGAAATAGGTCAAGAGCTATTGCTGTCTTGAATAATTAAGTAATAAATATATGTACATTGTATGTGTTTATAATTTCTCAAGGCAAACAACATGTTTTAATAAATTTATTGCAAAACTTTAACATCGTCATCTTCATCATTCTAGTTCATTGGAACAGCAAGTCAAACAATTGCTTTAAATAATTTTTAAATTCACTTGTTACTTATTTTTATCTATATTTTAAATACATACAGTATTGTTGGAAAACTAAGCTATTTTTCCTAACTGTGTAATCGATGCCCTATATATTCTACTAGCTATACCCACTTAACGATTTTGAAGATTCTAACTACAATAGTTTTCCATATATACAATTCGTTACATATGGGAGACGCCAAAAAAATTTTTGCAAGTTCACCACTTTTTCCGAACGTTAGTTAAGATTTTAATGTAATCTATGAAAAATTTGAATAATCTAATAGTTTCTCAGATATACGAAATTTTTTTTATTCATATGGGAGGTGCCCAGCACCCCCTTGAAAGTCCGCGCGTTATTCTCTAAATGTTTACATGAATGTCAAAGTTCTTCATGTAAAATTTGAAGATTCTAGATCTAATGGTTTCTTAGATATAAGATAAATTTGAAGAATTTAGTTCTATTAGATTCCCAGATAAACGATTTTTTGTATTTAATTCATATGGGAGGTGCCGCTCCTCTCATTGGTAGGTAGTCCGCCAATTTATTACCCAAAATGTTTACATGGATGTTATAGTTCTTCGTGCAAAATTTCAAGATTCTAACAGTAATAGTTTCCAAGTAAAACGAATTTTTGTATTTAATTTATATGGAAGGTGCCACGCCCCCAGTTGCCCAGTGCGCCTACTTTTTGTTCTAAATAATCACATTGACACTAAAGTGACTTGAGGACTCTAACTGTTATATTATCTCAGATATATTGATTTAATATTTTCTTAATATGGGCATGGTCCACTTGAAATTTCAAAATAAAAGGTAACCTATAACCTCTTCCAGACATACAGCAATGCACTGTGACTACTAAACGGTTCAGCCGTTTAAACAGTATAACAGCGCGAAGATCCCTTTACCTATAAAATCTTTTATCTAAAAGTGAAGTTTAGAAGAAAAGGTGAGTGCACACTGTTGTAACGCATCAAATATAGCCAAGAAAGTTTTTTTTTCGAACTTCGGGAAATGATATCTCTTAAACCTGATGTGAAGTTCTGAAGCTAGTTTCAAAACATATACTTTGGGCTCTGAATTTTGTCAATAAATCAATTTAATAGAATATATAATGCTGCCTGGAAAAGTAGCTAAAGTTTTGTGCAATACTGTACATATGCATGTACGTATTTCAATTAAAAACAATGTGCTTAATATTTTAAACAAAATTAAATGCGTCATAAATGTGGAACTGCAAACAAGAAATATATTTCTTCTATGACTAATCGTTAACATCTTTGAGTTAATGGTTGTGACTAAAGTTTAATTATTTGTAGACCTTCTGGATACACTTCTTATTATTTATGAATATTCTAAATACATTTTTTCTTTTAATCTAACCACTGTGGCTTTTTCAATAAGAAGTACAAATTCAAAAAAGTTTTCAGTTAAGAATTCATATTATAAAAATGTTTGATGGAAAACATTTTGCATGAAAATTTTTTCTCGACTTTTAAATGTACATATACATAAGTATATAGATATATACAATATATGTATTTCGAATATCGTCCACACATTTCACACAAACACCGCTAAAAAATCGTTCACTCAAAATACTAAATACAACTCGGTCATACTAAAATTAACTTTCAATACTTTTTTTCAAAATGTCAAAATTTTGGCGAGAGTGGCTATGTGTGCGTAAAGTGTATGGCAAATATTTCTTATGACGTCATTAAATTCATTGCTATTTTTTAAATCAATTTTTTATATGTATTAAAGCGTTGACTTATTTATACATATTTATTTGAATTGTGTAAAACAAGTTGTAATAAATTAAAATTTTGTTTTGTTGTTTTACAATTCTGTTTAATGTTTTTGATTCTTGATTATTTATTTTATGATTTTTTCCGGGAGGTCATTTAACATTGAGAACATTTCAGTATTTTGTTTATTTCATTTTGAAAAAAAAATATTGAAAATCAGTTGAACTGGACATAATGTTTATTTTGGGGAAAATTACCAAAATAATATGATTCATAAACAAATGGGCTGCAGATGTTACAAGTTATATGTATGTTTTAATATTTTACAGCCTGACCTAGAGAAAACCTTGGAAGCTTTTTTACAAATGGAAACAGATTTTTCAAAATTATTGTTGTAGTTTTCTTCTTTTACTTCCTCGCTCGCTTACAAATAGGGAGTTGAAGAAGTACTTGCAATTTCTCTTACAAAGAAGTTATTGAGTCAGCGCGAATACGAATCATGGACTTCGGTTTGTTAGTCAAATGTTCTACTCACTACACCACTGCTTAGCTATTTTATTGCTCGACAAATCATCAGATTTAAAGAAATTCATTACTAGAGTACTTCTAAGTAATGCAGATGTTAAGTAGTTGTCATTGAAAAGTATGTTGTTGAGTAAGTACAAGTCATTACTAGATTTTTGCTGGGATGTTTCTCATCTAAATTTAAATTTGATTTTTACTTATCAAATATTCGTGACGGAAAATAAATCAAAACGGAAAATAAATCAATTGGAACAGTGCATATTTTTTAGTACTTAGTTAAAAAAAACTCGAACTTTGAGTTATGCCAGTCGTGTAGTAAAACATCTATAGATGTTTTAAAAACCACAAAAAGTTAGTTTACTGATTTGGCTTCTATATCTTCAAAAACTACAAAAGTGTAGATTGAAATAATTTGTTCCCAGAATTTTCAATATTGGAATAATAATAATAATGGAACAAAATTTTATAAATTCTGTTGTAAATTTTTTTGTAATTAATTTTTATCTCACGAAAAATATTTAACAAGAAAAAATATTTAACAGAAAAAAATTCTTATCTCAAAAAAAGAACAATTTTATGATTTCTCCAGAATGGGAAAAAACTTCGCCTTTATTTCGTTCTCAAATATTTTAATATTATATCAAAATATTTCATGATCAAAGTTTAATTAATTATTTATTTTTGATTTATGTATATTTATTTAAAATGTGTACAAGTTCTCTTTAATTGCTCGTAAGACATTCAAATGTGTTTAGAATTATTTATTTAATAAACGTTTAAATAATCATGGCCAATTATTTATTATGTTTAACTACTTTTAAAGTCATACAATATTTAATAAAACATTTATGTATGTGCATAAATTTATGTTTAAATATTTGCCAAAATTATGGCAAAACAAATTAATTTACTTTTGATTATATTAGCCAAACTGAAATAACATTTAAGATTATAGTTTATGCATTAAACAATTATTATTGTATCAAAGGTTTATAAAACAAATTTCGTATTGAAATTTATTTAAAATTCTGAATCTAGTATTTTTCTTTTCCAAAAGTTTAGATCATTCAATGACCATATAAAAACAAATAAATTTTGAATATTGTTTATAACTTAAATACATGCAAAAATATATTTACCTATTTTAATAATTATTTGTTTATTAGTCAATAATTTCTATTATTATTTTAAAATTTTTTTATTTTTATTAGTTTTTATTTTAAATATAAATGCTCTCAATATGATGTCATTTTATGTACTTATTTATTTGCTCTTTATTTATTCAGTGTTCCATAGTTTTGCGTTTAATTTAAATATTTTATTTTGATTTTTACATGTTTTGAAATTAATTATAAAATTTCAAGAAACCAACAACAACAAAAATATGTTAATTTTGTTTAGGGAGGGTTTGTGTGTTTTCGAGTTTAAAAAAATTTGGCAATTTCCTGTTTTAAGAACTACTTTATAATAAATTAAAAGTCTGAACCCCTAAATATGTGTATTTACTAATTATAGAAGAAGAAACCATACAAATTCGACTTCAGTAAACAATAGAAATAAATTTATTAGTATTATATGAAGGGCTTTTAAAAACCCGTTTTAAATATAAATATTTTTAATAGTTCCGACTTAAGAATTGTGTTAAATATTTTATAAATTCCAGAGCACGAATTTAAATATATGAATGGTTTAGAATCAAAGACAACAATCTCCAATTTTGGTTTGTTTTTGGGAACTGCGTTTTAAATAAAAATTTCTGAAATACAATTTCACAATTTATCCAAAATTTTTGGAAATCTATTTTCACACAAATAAAACAATAGTAACCGATAATAATTTTAATACCAACCATCAGAAAGAAATATTGATCATAGACCTACAACAATCTATATATTTTGGGTCCTTATTAACTTCAAAGACGATCTAGCCATGTCCGTCCGTCTGTTGAAAGCACTATAGAGTCCAAACGGAAAGAGCTAGAGAGTTGAAATTTTGGTTCACGTTTTCGCATAGCCCCCATACAAGTGGCTCCCCAAAAAAACATCTTTAACAGTCATAACTGTTTTAAAAATGCGAGTATAGCGATAAAATTCGACATAAATAAGTCTCATAAGAGCCATAATTTACGGTCCATAATTTACCCTAACTCCCCCCCTTCAGAAAATTAATTTAACGTTCATACCTAATGTTTATAGGGGAGCATTTCATTTACGGTATACGGTTTGATGGCTTGAATTTATTTGAAAATTAGGTTCAAAATTACCGCATTTATATCGAAACGATTACTTATGCGTAAAATGAAATTTAAAGAATAAATGATATTGAAAATAATACAATTTGTTTTGAATTGGTTTTTCTTTTCATTTCAATTGAACTCTTCTGAAGTTTTAATGAAAAATCTTATTTTCAATTATGCTTTTCTGAATTCAATGCTGAAATTTAACTTTTCTGAGTTTAAAGTGAAAAGTTCTCATTTTAAATTGAAATAGTTGTTTTATTTGAAGGGACATCATACCTATTCTGCAATTCAATTCAATTCGAATCGAAATTTTCTATGCTCCTTCACTAGAATAACAACATAAAGAAACGATCGTAATGCAGAAAACACACGATCGTAAAGCATTTAAATGAAATAGAATTGCTTCTTCTTTTGCTTACATTTCCTATTTTTGTTGGATTACCGATCGTAGCACATCAGAATGCGGAAACGTAATCGAAATGCGGTATATTTTTTGGACTTCTTTCAATTAGCAGGATATGGGCCCCAAAGCAAAGATCACGAAAATCAAAAATATTCCAATAATTTTCAATAAATATTACTCATTCATACTGTATTTCATATAGTGCAATAGACCTTAATTAATATTCATCATACGCCTAGTAAACCATGACAATTTCAATATTATTTGGTTTTATTCAAAACAAATATTTTTCAAAATCTATATAAATAAACTATTATTGATCATAGATTGTTTTGAGCAGCATTAAACCAAATAATTATAATAAGTAGACGGGTAGAGAAGTATGTATGATTATAGTATTTTTATTTAAAAAATGAGATCATCGTTAAAGGCAATGAAATATTGAAAAACATATATACACACATGTTGTTACTTGTTGAATCTGATGGTAGGTAGCTAGACCAAACAAAATGAACATATTAATAAAATACAATTTTTGGCAAAATTTCGAAATTTCCAAAACGTTTCATGAAAAACAAAAAATATTTTTGGCACTAGGTTGAAAAGTAAGAGTACGAAACTAAAGAAAAGGCAAATAGTAAAAACAAATTTCGAAAATAAATTTTGTGTTTATAATTTGAAAATATTGGAGAAAAAGTAGAAAAATATTTTGTATATTATGTGAAAATAAATATAGAATTAAAAATTTTAAAACAGTACCACACCTACGCATTATAGAAATTTAAAGTTATTTTTGAACATTTATTTTTTATAAAATATTTAACATAATTAAAAAAACAGTTATTTACAAAGTTTTTTTTTGTGCAAAGTTTTTCACTTAATTTTTATTATCTTTATTTTTTAAAAAAAAATCTTACTTTTTAATTTTTTTTATTTGTTTTTATTTAAGATAAACGGTTCTTTATTGAACGTCTTCACACGCGTACGTTTAATTTTTAACTGAACTGAAATCGAAACCTAAAAAAAATTCTTTAACAAAAAATTTCGTTTTAAATATTATTTTGTGTTCTCCTTCTGTGCAAATACGCAGCAGTTTATTTGTTATTTTCAACTCTTTCTGCAATTACTATTTATTCTCTCCATAAACTTTTTATAGAGAAAATGACGTCATATACGACGATACAAATAAAATACACAACAAATGCTAACAAGTTGCTTTTTTACTATAGAAAATGTAAACAAAACATTGTTTAGACTTCAAAATATTGAAAACAATTTAGCTGCTATCCCTTATACATTAGGGTGGCACAAAATATACTATGTTGGAAATATTACCATGAAATCATTTAACAAAATTACTTTACTTTGTGCAAGATTTTTGAAAGTTGCTCTATATGTCAAAATCGAAATGTTATATTTTTATACCCTATACCACTATAGTGGAGAGGGTATTAAGGTGGAAGTACACAAAACGCGTTTCACGCTTTTCAAACTTTTCGCGCTTTATAAGCGGCAAGTTACACACCACACGTCATTTTCATCTCTCTTTTATTGTTTTTTAAGACTATTACTGTTTTAAAAATCAAAATTTTAAGTTTTTGTATATTTTTTAATATTTTTCTTCCATTGTTGAAGAAACTTATTTCATTATAGTTTATTCTTAATCTACACAAAACAAAATACAACCCTGATCAGCTGTTGACGCGTCAAAAGTTGAAAGTTGCTGAACTTTTCGCGGCAGACGCGTTACAAACTACAAATGAAAATACACTATTTCAACTTTTTTTGACAAAAGCCTATAACGCGTTGCCGCGTACAACGCGCGTTGTGTACTTCTACCTTTATGCGTTTGTGCTAATGTTTGCAAACACCTGAAAATATTTAACATATTATTAAAAATTGTTGAACTTTTCTTAAACATTCGATAAACCATAATTTTAGATTCCATTAACTTGGCAACTTTTGTTTTGTTGTACCCTAATATACATGTACGCAATAAAATTATTTTTAAATAAATTTTATTTAACTTAACACCGATATAGGTATTTATGTTTTTTTTTTGGTTAAGACCTTGATAGCTGCTGGCCCTAAGAAACACAATAATTTGTTTTTATTTTTAATTGTAAACAAAATGTTGATTAATTTCTCAACAATCAGAGTTACTCTTTTCTTTATTTCTGTTTACTGACGTGATGTCTCACCTACACTCATCAATGCACTACTGGGGCCCCAGTTTTCATTGATAACATTCTTTGGTGTTTGTGCTTCGTTTTTTTTTTTTTGGAATGACTCATTTTACTTTTTTTGCTTCAGTTTCCGATGCAAACTTGTAGATACAGTAAATATACAGTGTGTAACAATTAAAAGTATACTTCGTAAAAAAACATTTCAAATAACTATAGTAAAAAAGAGAGAACTGTTCATATAGGGAGCGGCTCAATTTCGTAAATATTTCTATCGAAATATACCTATAACCATTAGCATATTGGTCACATATGAATTGAAATCTATACCCTACACCACTATAGTGTGGGGAGGGTAGCATTAGTTTGTCCTGTTTATGTAACACATAATACAATCGAGTTTAAGCCACTTTTATTAAAACTTTTTGCGAAAGGTACAGGTCGCAATTTTCAATATAAATTTATGATATTTTGCAGTTTTCGTCCAACGATAAAGCCTATTGAAAATAGTTGAAATTGGTCCATTATTTCACCTAGCCCACATACAAATGGACCACCCACATAGGCCTTTGGAATTAATCACCCCTATTCTGCATTTCGATTACATTTCCCCATTCACTTACGCTATGATCGAAAATTGGTTTTCCAACAAAAAACGGAATCGTTTTTTGCGTATTCTGTATTGCGATCATAACTACGTTTTTGTAAGTTGTTATTTTAGTGGCAGAGTTTTGAATCGAAATGCAGAATACCAAAGTTGCCAAACGGAGAAAATTTCGATTCGAATTGAAATGTAGAATAACATAAAATTATGTTAAATAACTGTCACAGCTACGATCGCAATGCAGAATACACATAATTGTAAAGCATTGAAATGTAATGGAACTCCTATATTTTTTCTTTACGATTCAGTTTTTTCTTGAAATACCTTTTTTTGTAATTGAATGCGGAAACCAAAGAATAAACAAGAAGTGAAACGCTGTCATTTTTTTACAACAATAACATTACGCTCTTCTCACAGACGAGTGCTGTGTAAATCCAACACATATGTAAAAATGTTATTCTCTCTCCAAACTTCAAAACTTTTTCGCGAAAATTTGAGGATAATAGCACTTTGAAATATTTTTTATCACTTAACATTATATTTTATAATTTTTTTGCACAATTTAAACACATTTAATAGCCCGAAAATAATATATTTTCTACAAACGAAAAAAAAATATTTTTTATTTTTTGACATTGAATTTTTGTTGGTTGAAATTAAAACTAAAAAAAACAATGTTGTAAATTTTCGTATGGTAAACGAAAAATATATTTCAAATAAATAATTTATTTTTCCAATATTATAGATTAAAAAACAAATAGACGTGTTTATAAAATGTTTGTAGATAAAATATGTGGAAAATATCTCAAGAAACCTTTCAAGGTATAAATTGAAATGAAATATTTTTTTTCAATATTTTTCAATACGATTTTTTGCAACTATGTTGACTTGAGAATTCTACTAATACATTCTTAGAGTTAGGTACCGGATGACAGTAGACTTAGGTACTTTTGACAGCAGTTTCATTTCTTATTTATTCTTTGGCGGAAACGTACAAATCTCTACAGAAATCGGTACATCATATATACATAAATTCTGAAAACATCGTTAAAATAATATCCCAAAATTTAACTTATAAATATGTATGTGGTCAACAAGAAAGCAAATTCTTGATACATCTTCTTAAAGTACATTTTTATGGGTCGACTATGTATGGCAACCGAACATCAGTTGCGTTGCCAAACTGAAAAAAGAGAATGATTTTAGTCTAGAAATGATTCAAGTCAACCAAAAATTCATTGGATGAAGATTATTATTGAATAAAACATTCATTATTTATGAAGTTTACAAGCTATTGCTGAATAACCGTTATCATTTTGGCAACGCAACTGAAGTGGCAATTGAGATACATAATCCACCTATAAATCTAATAATATACAGCTTACCCATTATTTTGTAGAAAGCCAGCACATCTGCGAGATATTGAATATACGCTCTGTTTCCAAGTGTTCTTTATGGGATTGATATTGTGACTGTTAGTTGATCTGCCTCTTTAGTTTTTTTAATGCGGTTTAAAACGGGAAATTTTGCTGACCACTCAAGAACGCAAACACCAATCATTTTCCTTTTCCAGCTCTATTAATCTTCACAGTTATTTGGTTAATATTCTCAACAAGAGTGGGAAGAGCTTCCCCTGTTTGACCTTATTCATGTTTTAGGGTACCTCTGCAACACTCAGGTGCAAGACAACCGTTTTTTGAGTTTCTGAAAGTTCTGTGCATGTTTGGCGGGAGTTATTTCAATTTCATGTGGACGACAAATTGTAAATGCATAAGTATTTTTCGTAAGCTAATTTATAAGTCTTCTACTGTTTAAGTTTTCGAAGATATCGCTTATTAGTTATCGAATGTATATCCTTTCTTATGATAAAATCATGTCAAAGTCCTTGATTTTTTATTACATTCATACGTTTGTATATTTTTTTGACGCTAACTGTATAATAAAAATTTCCTGAGTTTACTGGAGGTCGCAGTCGGTTTTGTATTAAAAATATCATGTCTGAGTATTATATGAACTTCTATAAAACTAAGGTGGGAGAGAGAGAGAGAGCCACTTTCTTGGTGTTTGGCATTGTTATTGTTTTATTAACAACAAAAACAGCATTGTAATATTAAGTTATTTAAGATACAGGGTGTAACATAAATAAATGCATTTATTTTAGTACAATTCTATTCAATTATGAATTGAATTCAATGGAATTGTAATGACACAACTTTACATCATATTGTATAAAACAACACAACATAGATTTAAATATTATATCATAATTAAATTTAAAAATTTGTGGTTGTTTGAAACTTTTTTATAGATTTTTTTTACAATGTAATTGTTTGTTTTCTTTATAAATTTGTTTTATAATAAATGTGGTTTTACAATTTAATTTTAAAATAATGTTTATTTACCGCAATTTAAAGAAATAAACATAATCAGTTATACATTTAACCTAAATATGTGTAAGCAACAAATAGTCATGGATATAAAAATAGTAAATCTGAAAGCTAGAATATCTTAAAAGGTGTGACCAGGGTTAAAAACTTAAATATTTCAAAAAAGTTACATATCTTATGACTTCATACTACAACCTTTTAAACTGTAGATTTCTATCGTTGTACAAACATTTTATATTACATTTCTCTCATTTTACACACCCTCAATCTTTCTAACTACTTTGTTTTGTATTTGTGAGTCAACAGTTTTAACAATACGAAAAAAAGTTTGATTTTATTTTGACGTCCCTAAGTCTCGCCATTAATGGTCGTACATACAGTTTATTCAACTTTGTTATACTTTGTGTTTTTATTTACTTTGTTCTAGGAATATATCCTTCCTTAGCACATGCATACAAATATAAATAGAGGGTGGGCTACAGTATCGGCTAAAATATATTGAAATCTATGATTGGATGCAAACTCAATGCTTTAGGCTGCCAATCGAAATTCAATCCAATGAAATAATAAATTATTGAAAACAAAAATGAATTGACTCTTAGATATGTTGAAATTGACAAATTTTGTAAAATTTATTTTTAAAGGTTTCGTTTATATTTAGTTTTAATCAATTCCCATTTGATAGGATTCATAATTATTGTGGTTTTTATCTAATAAATATGATTAAGTCTTGTTAAAATGCGTTTTTTTTTTTTGTTTCTAAAAGCTACAATGGAGTTAACTTGACGTAATATTTTATTAGATAAGTTGTAATTTTTTATTTCGTTTCCGTGTTAATATTAAGAACTTCAAGTAAAATATAAATAATAAACAAAAGTAAAAAAAAATGTAGAAAGAAA